CCTCCCGTCCCGCGGAGCCCTTGTGTCCGGCGAGGGAGCCCGCTCAGCTTGGACGGCCTTTAGGCCCGGGGGAGGGGTCGGCCCGGCGCCCGGCGTCGTGCTGCGGAACCGGTTGTTGAAACGCGCAGGGCCGGGTTTTTTCTGAGCGGAAGACAAACCTTCTCTTAGTTTAGTTAGCTGTAACGGTGACTATACCTCAGAAGTGACTTTGCGGTGTAAATTTTTGCTGTGTCCCACGGGAAATGTCAGTAGTGTATGTCCTTGTGACTAATGCACCTCCTGACTTGAACAGGTAACCCAAAATGTGAGGGAGGCCTTACAGACTGTATCAGTTAAGAGAAAAAAAATTGCGGTTGAGTCAGGTACTTTAGAAGCTGTAATCATCTTTGGGAAAAGCCTACCCCTGGTTCTAGTCCTAAAGTTCCCTAGCTGGAGTCCGTCTCTTGGTGTCTGTAAGCTCCCTGTATTCCTGTTGCTGTCCTGGCATTATTTGCTCTACACCCCGTGAAGCTCCTCTGTCTGAGGCGACAAGATTCCTGAAAGACTTGTGTCCAACCTTTCCTGTAGCAGGAGTAACTTGCTCCCGGCGTTTGTTAGAATGCTTCACAAACAAATGCAGTCAGAACAGACAGAGCTTCGTCGGTGGTTAAACTGTTATCACATCCATGGGTGCGCATGGGGCTGTGAGCTGCAGCAGCTGAGGGCTGTGGTTCGTGGGCTGTTCCGGACAGCTGCAGGTGTGGAATCTAGCTGGAATTAAGGGCCAGTATTTGGGGTGTCTGCACTTCACTTTGTGCTGGCTTGTTTTAATGTCCTGTCATTTTTTCTGTTTCTGGTAGCTGGTAAGTAGTTTTTTGCTGCCTTTTTTTTACCATGTAAGTTTAATAGTGAGCAGGAGTGGAATGTCATTGGTGAGATTACCCAGTCAGCTGATGTATGACAGTCTGTTTTGCAAGAATGTAATAGTAATTTGTCAGTGTTTTTCCCCAAAGTGCTGTGCATCTGCATATGTAATAGCAGCGCAGCGTTCACAGGAGCTGCTGTAGAAATACTTCTATGGGTAAATTATTTGCATGAGACTTTTAATAGCCATAAAGTCCTGCAAATGCTAGGGTTAGTTTTACACCTTTTGCAAGATCTGTGGGAAAAAAAAACCCAAAACCCAACCCAAACAACCCCTCCAGTTTAAATCAGGAGTGAACCTTGATTTTATCAGTTGCTTGACAGGTGGTTGGTTGATTTCTTTATTTTGAAAATGCAAAATAAATTATGAAGGTGATATAATATTATTCTTGTTTTTTGCCCCCCAGATATCCTGATCGCCATGGCGATGACCACAAGAAATGTGATGAGAGCTGTCAGAGTTTTTGAATTTGGTGGCCCTGAAGTGCTTAAACTCCAATCAGATGTCTTAATTCCTGATCCAAAAGAAAATCAGGTATAGATGAGTTCTGTGAACTGAGGTAATGACACTGAATGATAACAAGTACACTCAGAACAGAATGAAAACTGCAAAACAAAACTTTTCAGCTTGAATATGTAGTTTTTGATCAGCAGATTCATATTACTTGGGACATCACGTTTTACAAATGTAGACTTTTTACTGTTACATGGGCTTACATGTTCCATAGAAAAGATTTCCTGAAGATGACTTCAGTTTGACGCTGAATTTCTGCTGACTCTGGTTAAGAGTTTAGTTAAAATGCCGTGATACTGTGCTGTCAGTTCAAGTTCTGAAGCTCTTCTAATTATTGCTTAAGAAGCATCTTTTCTTTCAGGTGTTAATTAAAGTCCATGCCTGTGGGGTAAATCCTGTCGAGACATATATTCGTTCTGGAAGTTATGCTAGGAAACCAGCTTTACCCTATACTCCTGGCTCAGATGTGGCTGGTGTGATAGAAAGCGTTGGGGAACATGTGACTGCACTCAAGGTATTTATACGTTGGGTTTTAGTTCATTATTGTATCCTCTTTGTGTGATTGCTATACTGCTGTTCCTGGATTTATTGCTTGTAATAATGTAATGTATTTGGCGGGGGGGTAATCACCTTCATTGACTGGTCAAAGCATGCAGTGAGATCATATTGGCAACTCAGTCTGCAGATGGAACTGTAGGGAAGTCTTTCACGATGTTGACCTCCAAGAGTTAAAGGGTCTCAGAAGACGCACTTCACTTTGTGCGCTTAAAGTGACGATAGCAGGTGTACAAAAGCTGTGGTTCAGATTAGAAGTTGGATGTTTCCTGTTTGAGGTAATAGTTTCATGCAGAGCTGAAAAATTTTCCGTGCAGTTTTTTTTGGAAATGGCTTTTATTTTAGTTACTTATAAAGCCTCGTAAGTTACATAATTGTTGTTAAAACTGTTCAAATACTTTATTACTCTAGCATAGTAATTTTACTTAGGTTTTATCAGAGGGAAAGTCTTGGGGCTGGAGAAGGCAATTATCAGTTTGTTAAAAGATATCTGTGAGGTTTATTTAGTTTTTAAATCTTCTTCAAGTCACTAGACTGTTGGTCTCAGACAAATGTAAAAATTGTAGTTAAAAGTCTGTTGGAATTTCCTGCCTTGGAGTTTATGTAACTGTTGCAGGAGAGATGAGATAATTGGTTGTCTGGGGAGAACAATCATGTTTGTTCATATTTTCTTATCACTAGTTTGCTATATCTGCTGTGCGTGCTTGTGGAAATCGTGATGCTCTTTGCTTGAGTGAGAGAGAGAGAGATGATGAGAGCAGTATGTGCTGCAGACAGACGTCCCGAAAATGCCGGGTAGCCAAGCTCACTCATTTGCGTGCTCGTAGTGCTGGAGGAGCAGCGATGCTGATGCGCAGCCCTCCTCGGGGTGCTTAGCGCCCGATGTCTGCAAATCAGACGGACGTCGCCCGCACGCTGTGTGTTTGAGACCCACGTGCAAACAGTAGAAAAACCAGAGCTCAGTAACCGTGAGCATTAAGGGAGACTGATGCTGTTGTGCGGCGGGCTGGTGCGAGGCCGGGTGCTGAGCGGGACCCTGCCGCGGGCGCTGTACCCCTCAGCAGGGCTGGGGCCCTGCACGTGCAGCGCGTGGCCCGGGTGCATCCCCTGCTCGCCAACTCGGTTGCTGATTTGAGCGTTCCCTGCTGAAGACCAGCAGCAATATTTAGTTACCTTACCGTGTGTTAAGAGGGTATCTTTTTTCCACGTTTAAACGAAAATAACTGAGAAATGTTTCTTTTGTGAAAGCTTTTGAGGTTTTGCGTTTGGAATCTGTGGATGGAATTATTTAGTGTTCGGGTTCATTAAGGCTAATATTGATGAGACGGTTTGTGTGTTGCACTGTAGAGCGGGGTTGTAATTATGACACTTAAATGTAAGTATATGAAATTACATGGTTTGTGTTGCATTGATTATATGTATTAGCATTTGTAAAAATCTGTGACAAACTTAGCTGGTTATTTTTAATAGGAGTGCTGTTAGAAATAGCCTAAACTTCTGTGAACTGGTTCTTAATGTATATTAAGGAAAAAATAAGGGAGATGATTAATTTCTCTATTTTCTTTCCCTCCTTTCTAGAAAGGTGACAGGGTTTTTACCATTGGTACAATCTCTGGAGGATATGCAGATTACGCCGTTGCTGCAGCTAACAGAGTCTTCCCTTTGTCAGATAAATTGGACTTCAAGCAAGGAGCAGCGATTGGAATACCCTACTTCACTGCTTATCGTGCTCTTTTCCAAAAGTAAGATGCCAAATCTAAGTTTGTGCATTTTGCTTTTGAATATTTAAAATACTGAAACATATATTTTCATGGCCCTGTAAAATGGGGAGAGATCAATGAGCGGGAAATGTTTAAACCACATAAGTTAAATTTATTACACTGATGGGATTGTCAGATAATTGTTACCTAGAAGCCAGTGACTGTGTTTTCCTGTAAGTATTTAATCTTAAGAGAACAGACCTGGAAAGGGTTCTTCGATAAATGTCATATAATAAAATGTGTAACACTTTTTCAGTACTCACTGGTATTTTGGCTAGGGAAGAAACCCAGGAATAGTTCTAATTTCCTAATTACACGCACAATGAGCTCAATTCTTTCCTCCATGAGCCTCTCTGCCGGAGAGGCTCTGGGTACAGTCCTCTCTGTTGCCATAGGACAGGACAACCAGTAAAAGCCAAGCTTCCTTGTCAGCCAGGTGAGAGCTTAGGACTGGAATCCAGTTTGGTTTGGTAGAACAAATGATTAGAACTAGTGTGGTTTATCTTCAGATCTGCAGCTTACGAAGATCTTGAACTGAGGTGTGGTACCAGGCTGTTCCTTGCTGCTAGTTGCATGTTGGAATAATTGTGTGTTACTTAAATGCACAAATGTTATGCTTTACTTTGCCTCCTTGCTTTCCCAAAGAGGCTGATTATACCTCGTTAGCCATAGCATAAATTGGAAATACTTTGTGAAAGATGAGATTTGATGTCAGTATATGCAGTCTGATGCTTAATGATGATGTACTGCCATCACAATGCCAATATTTTCTGTTTTTCCATTCAGAGGGCGTGCCAAAGCAGGAGAAAGTGTGCTAGTGCATGGTGCAAGTGGAGGAGTAAGTATTTTGAGAAGGCAAGTTATAACAAATGCTGCTTTCTGTCCTTGTATCTGCTTTTGTCTGTGATATGATTTATGGTCACATTTATATCAATTTATGGATTAACAAAATCAAGTTTTTATTTCAGATACTTTAGGATACTTTTTTCTTAGAGCAAACCCTGTTATTCCAAGTAACTATGAAACTGCGTGAGTGATTGTGTAAGGCCCCTAGTATGGAGGGTCACATAATAAACGCATTGCTGCAGTCGGAAGCTGGTCTGGAAGCTTTATAATGGGCCTTCCTGAGATAAAACTGATAGCAGAAAGCCGTGGTTTTAAATATGTACAAGTTGTTCTCGGAGTAGTAATCACTGGGGCATAGCAACTATGCATTTCTGGGATATTTTTACCTATTAGCTAACAGTTAACTGCACAGGGAGAGATACTGGAATATATAAATTCATGACTGAATGCTGTCTGAAATTGAACATACAGTTTTCTCTGGTTTTACATGACAAGCTAACTTTGGAGCTCTTTCACACAACATTCTAGTTTAATTTATCCCCCATACTTGCATTTTGTTGCTCAGCTTCTGCTGATGCACCAAACAGCTGCTTAAACAGGCAAAGTTTCCTTAATTATTTGGTAGACAGCAAAAAGGTGATTATGACAATCTCGTATGAAGAGGAATTCAGTTCTCATTCTAAGATACCAGCGTTGTAGCCTCTTTTTTTTTTTTCCTTATCTAAACATAGTGTTTCTATTCTTACTTATACTTCTAGAAAAGATATATTGCCTTTCATTTGCAGAAGCGTATAACGCAAATCCGTTCTTCTGTGGACTTGTAACCTTTGTTACAGGAGTACTTGTAAAAGCAGTGAGATATGTACAGGTACGAAGCACAGGCTGAAGAGAAAAGAAGGTTTGTGCTGCATCTTTTCTTTCAAGTGATGCCAACTTCCATAATGAATTTTAAAAATGTGCCTCCTTTTGAATTTTTCTCTGAAAATCAGTCTGACCATGATGTCTTTAGTTAATGGTGTTTTTTTTTTCATTTAGTTGAAAACTGGTGATCTGTTACAGAGAAAACAAGGCTGCGTTTGGCAAACAGTTTGGTAGATCCTGGCCAGACAGATGGTCGTGGTAGATTTTTTTTTTTTTTTTGAGAAGCCTGCCCATTTACTTTATGTGTTATTCGTACATACAAATTTAGAGTAGCAGAGCCACAGAATGGAGTTTTTATGGTCGTTTTTGTTTGTGTATTTATTTATTTGTTGGTGTCTTCCCCCCCAATTGGAAAATGTACATGTCTTAACATGTCCTGGAGGAGGTCTCCGGCTGTGTGGTTGGTACAGTGGGTGGCCGAGTCTGTTGCCTCAGGAAGCTGAGCAGCTGGCACTGGGTCCAGGCAGCATTGTACGTGTCTGCTGTTCCCTCGTTTGCTTGCACGTTCTCTTGCCGCGACACAAAGCAAACCCAAGAGATGGCATTGGCATGCCTCAAGGGATCACTGGCTCCAGTGTCGGGATTTTGTGACGCATCCCTCACCTCTAAACATCCTCTGGAGTGCAAAGCTGGTGCGAGACACTGAGAATTTGGTTTCTAAAGATACCATTTAATCTGTTTGTGAAAGGAGCGGAAGTAGTGTTAATGAAATTTGTGCTTGCAGATTTTCTTTGCAGTGTATAATGCTGGTGTCAATAGCAGGTGATGCTGTGAAGAGAGAATTTTCCTTGGCTTTATATCAAATATATGTGGCCCAACTTTAACAGATAGACCATGTTCTGCATGGATTTATATCAAACCACAGAACTCTACTATGCCTCTCTAAACATCTTCTGTTTTTCTCAAGACTATTTGGCTATCTTTAAGATCCAAATTACTTATTATGACTAAAAAAAAAATATGTTACCAGGCCAACTTCTTAAATGGGTAAGTTCCAAGTTGCTGGTAGAATACATACAATTTAAAATGCTAAGAAAGAAAGAGAAAAAAGACCGTGTTTTTTTTTTTCTTCTTTTTTTTTTTTTTTTTCCCCCTCAGGTGGGAATAGCAACATGTCAGATTGCCAGAGCCTGTGGTTTAAAGGTTTTGGGTACAGCAGGAACTGAGGAAGGCATGAAGATGGTTCTGAGAAATGGCGCTCATCAAGTGTTTAATCACAGAGAAGCCAATTACATTGTTAAAGTTAAGGTGAGCATGTATCGGGGCTAGGTGGTGAAGGATGTGTTTTTCTTACTAACAAAGTGGGAACAGTTGGTTCTTTGAAGTAGATTTACGTAGGTGTAACAGTGTACTGCCTTTTACACTTTTACACAAGGAGAAACTTCTCAGGCTGGAAAAGCGGAGCTTGCTTCGCAGGCAGTGGCATTTGGAAACTCTTGCATTCCAGCAAATTCCAGTGTGGTAGCATATCATAATTCAGCATATCAAAATATACTAAAATTAAACTTATTAGGTGTCAGCCTTAGCAAAAAACTGTGTTTAAAATGTAAACAATAAACTGTAAGATGTCTGTTATCTGTAGCGTGTGAGCGAAACAGTGGTACCCAAGCACCAGCTGGAGTGATTCAAGTAACATATTCTGTCCTGCATAGGAATACACAGGGATGGAAGGAGTTGATATGATAATAGAAATGCTCTCTAACGTCAATCTCGCTACTGACTTACAACTGCTGTCCTATGCAGGAAGGGTGATGGTGAGTGCTTTTTGTTGCTGACTTTAGTTTGTGCGTTTAGCAACGCGGCACAACAGTTAAGCTTGACCTATCTTTTAACTCGTTTGTAACAGGTTGTGGGCTGTAGAGGTTCTATTGAGATAAATCCAAGAGACACTATGAGTAAAGAATCCAGCATAATTGGAGTTAGTCTGTTTCTTGCAACTGAGGTAAGAAGCGTTTTTATTTTAAAGAATGTTTTGTTGGCTTAGTCCAACATCTCTGTTTCCAGTTAAAATCATTTGTAGGGGTGAAAGCATAATTTCACTGTAACTTGTTTGTTCATCCCTTTACATTTTGATTTAATCTCAGAACATCAAAAAATATTTTTGGGCTGTGAAATTTGGTTTAACACTTGCCTAAATAGTCAATACTAAAATGTAAAGACCTTGTGGTAAATGCTGTCTTTATTGCATGCAGGAGGAGATGCATGAATGTGCCAGAGCAGTCGTTGATGGCATAGAAGCTGGCTGGCTGAAACCAATTGTGGGCTCTGAATACCCACTGGAGAAAGTAGCTGAAGCTCATGAAGATATTATTCGTGGCAGTGGGACTCGAGGAAAGATGGTGCTCCTTCTGTAGAGGCTTTTTCCTTTTATTTTGTGGCTGTTCTAACTGCACCTTTGCTTACATGATTCATTGAACGTATGCTATAAAACATACTTTTGATCAGGTTTGACAGTAACAGCAAATGCTGACTTACGTTAATTAATTACGTTAATTAATTAACAATCTATTTCTTTTTGTAATAAGCAGAGTTGTGTATACTTTAAAATAATTTTTGTCGCTTTTTTGGCTGGTGTGGGAATGATAGATTTTCTCTGCTGGTGTGGCCTTGTGATGCAGGGGAGACTCGTACCTGAGGCAGCATTTGATGCCATGCTCTGTGGGAAGTTAGAGCGAGGCCACTGCAGGTAGTGCGAAATGAAGCCTGCTTTAACCAGCCACACAAATGTATGCAACTAACTGTATGCGTACAACTAGGACTCTGTGAAATCTTTAGCCACAGAATTTGTCTTGTTCGTCTTTTTTGTCACATGATTTACTTGGAATAAAAGCTTTTACTGCCAAAATAGTTCACTTTCCAGCTCAAAAGACACCCGAAGAATCTCTTGGATACAAACTGTTCGGAAGCAGAGGCAGTTTTGTTTTGCTATGCCTGGCTTGGTATCAGAGGTGACAGTGTCCCAGTTACTCCAACGGGACCATCACTCTGAAGCTGCCTGCTAATCCGTGCTGCTTTGCAGCTGAGCACATTGGCAGAAACAGCCTTGATGGGAGGTGGATGGGTGGCAAGGACTGCAATTCTTCCTGTGACCTCTATGGAATTTAAAGTCACCTGAATCCCTGTCTACAATGAGGAGAAAAGAGAGGCTGTGCTGTTCTCGTGGGTGCTGAGAATTCATGTTATTTTGTAAATGACTGCGTCTGCATTGTTGACTTGTTCCAAGTTAAGGAAGGACAATTTGATGCGTTGACAGTTTTTACACTCAAAATACTGTTTGGTATTACAGGCACTTCCTTTTAATGATATAATTCTTCAATGAGCAGTGAAGTCATCACATGCAGAAGAGCTTTGTCAACTTCAAGGATGAGCTTTTCTGTTCTTTTGAGGAAAAGCAAGTCCTTACTAAACAGAAACTCTTTATAAGTATTTTTGTCCGTGGAGGTTACTTGATTTTTAACATTTGGTCTGGATTCATTTGGTGTCATACTATCATAAATTGGCAGGTGTTCTCTGAATCCATGTGCGGTTTCCTCAGGGTGGTAGCTTCATCACACTACCGTTTTCTAAGGTGTGATTTTTTTAAAAAAATTTTTTATTTTTTTCCCTGAACAGGCATTCGTTTCTTACTGGCGTTTTGCTTAATCTAAACTAAGAAAATAATTGGCAAAATCTTTTGAAATGTCTGGATTTATCCTCTATGTTTGTGATCCCTTGTTAAAATATGAAGGTAAGAGAGGGCCCCACAATCAGTGTCTTTATAAGCCTCTTGATCAGATTGTAACATTTTGTTTTGGTGCTTAATCAACCATGGATGTTCTGTGTGTGGTCGGGAGGAATTGAATCCAGACATGCTACTTGCCTCTAGAGCCTGCAATGGATTACTTATTTCGCCTGTGTGTCCTTTAGGAACAACTGTCTCCTTTCAGAAAGTTGGACACTATTGGTGTCGAGGTCTTGCTGACATCTGAGTGCCTTCCTCGTGCTTGGCAGACAAGTTTAAAACCAAACCAAACCCTATGCCTGATCTCTGGTTTTGCACAGTGGTGGTTTTTTGGTTTTATTTATTTATTTTTTTAATTAGCGTAGTTGGAATTGAAATATTTTCTGAGCTTGTAGATGTGCTAGCATGCAAATACTAGGTGTACTAAAAAAAGTGGTAGAAAATTATTTACTTATTTACATGGAAAATGTTGCAGGCGTGTTGTGGTTCAACCCCAGCTGGCAAGCGAGGCCCATCTGGCTGCTCGCTCGCTCCCCCCCCTCCCAAGGATGGGGGAGAGACTCGGAAGGGTAAAAGTGAGAAAACTCGTGGGCTGGGATAAAGACCGTTTAATAAGTAAAGCACTGTAGCTAACGCTTGGATATCAAGTTCAGAGCAGAGGTTTCTTGTCTGTGTGCGCATCGCTGCTGCTGGCACGGGCAGCGTTTGTTGCGGGGTTTCTCACCAGAAGGTGTCAGAGTGGTTCCGATGTTGTTACCTTGCCGCCTTCTCTGCGAAGGCTGCCTGGCGGAATAAGGCAGCGAAACTTTGACTGCTTTGCGAAATGTGACGTTTAATTCTGTTGTCCTTTTTTGATGTATCGCACCGATGGAGGGGGCTGTTTTAATTTTGGAAGAAGTAGTGTGAGTAGAGGTAGCGGCGTGGCACTGAGCACAAAGTGCGGGAAGGAGGGAGGAGGCTGCAGGGGATGGACAGGTATTTGAGAGAGCCGGGCTGTGTTGCTGGTGTTACAGCAATAGGGTTGGGCTCCAGCTCGTGGGTGCAGCTGTAGCAGTGTAAGATGGTGGCGGGGGGCATCAGTTTAGCCCACGACTGGGTTACAGTAGCTTGAGCCTTGCCTGTTAGCACAAACCCACCTTCGCTGTGATCTGCCAGGGGGATGGTTGGGATGCTCGTGGGTGGTCAGGCTGTGTTCTCTGTTAGAGAGACACTAATATCTGGTGGACAGAAAATTGCCCTGGCTAGGTGACTCCTTCAGCTGCTGCAGCTGAATTTCCGAGAGCTGTGATTTGTCACGTTTCTGGTTAACCTTTCAGGCCTATCTCGTCTATGCAAGCCACCCGTCCAGAGAAGCTGTCAATCTAGAGAGTCCCTGGTTCAACTCTCCTTTTAGGACATGCTGTCCCCTTGGCAGAGCTGAGAAGGATGGAGGGAGAGGATGAGGATCACAGACAATTGAATTAGGAAGAATAATTCTGTCAGGTTGTTTATTTTTGAGGAACTTGTCCTTATTTAATCAGCCGGGGTTTCTGAAGCAGTGGTTCCCCGTAGTAGCCTGCTTGGTGCTGCTGTGGGTGGTGGGAAAGGGTGCTCTGGCTCTCATTTTTGTGCTGGCCTTTGCATACGCAGGCAAGGGTCAGGGTTCGAAGCGTGCAGTTGTGTAAGCATGCCATGGTCTGGGAGCTGCTCCTGTACATGTTTCTGAAACAAAAAGAGCAGAATTCTCATGAAAAGCAGCTGCTATTTGTTAATCGCGTGCTGCCTACGCTTTCTAGTCATTAAAAGTATCCCCGCTCCCTTGTAATTGTGTGGTCCCCTGCGTGTATTCCTGACTTCTTTGTGTGCTACAGCATGATACAATAAATTAATGAGACTTCAGTTACAGGGGAGGTAGGATAAAAAATCAAGAGGATAGTGATGTTCTTGATAGTTGCTTCCTTTACAAAAGACAATTCACTATTAAGTGGAGATAGATCATGCCCTGGAACACCTGAGGACAGTGGAAGTCCTTTTGCATTTTGGAGCAAGTGCGTCAGAGAGGGAAGGCTGTCCCTGCCCTCCGTCACCTGAGGATCCCCAGTCGGTTCGGTTGGGCCGTGTTCTTGAAAGCATTACCTGTGTGTTTGCGCTTCAACTTGAACTCACAAGAAATGAAGGAAGAAAGGAAAAACAGGGACGCGGAAGGGTGATCATATCTCCTTTATTTCCATATAGGTGGAGCTCATTGAATGTATACTTGGGAGCCTTCCTGACGTTTGTACTGAGAGAAAGGAAATCAGGGTGCATATTTGAAATGATGGTGCATCCAGTCCCCTCTGGAGCTGTATTTCTAAGTGCACAGGTCTGTGTGGCATCGAAGTGCCTTCTCCGCCCTTCCCTC